GGGAGCGAGAAGGGGAAGGAATAAGGAGAGGGCTAAGAGCACCATCTCGGAGCAAGATACAACCGGAGCACCACCTGATCATTGGATACAACCCTAACAAGTGAAAAAGAAGACTCCACAGAAACTCATAAAGTAGAAATTACATAAAACCTATCCCTAATTCTAGAAATCAACATATATATAAACTCCAAACAGGAAAAAGAGAAAGAGAAAAGGTTGCAGAAGGGTTGGTGGTTTTGTCGTCCCTCTTAATTGCCACTCGGTGCAGCACCGACCTGGACCAACCATCCCAGACTGGCTTTGCTTGGTCATTCTGCCACCCAGTTCAGCCGACTAGCCCCCAGCCCCGTGTCAGCCTCCCGAGATTGGGGATTTTCAACTTCATTTGTCGAAGCCTCTTATTTTTTTTCTACAGTCCTAATAGCACCTGGATCCCACTGACGATTGCACTATCCTTCAAGGCACCTGAGGGTCTTGCAAACATCCACATCAGTCCAATCTTCTAGGAGTCTACCACTGAACCAAACTGAGTATCGGTGTTTCGCCTCTGTCGCTGAATACTCCCAGAGTCATCTCTAATTGGTTTAACTAGATCTAAAATGGGGTTAACTTGAAACTTTCCGCCTGGCAGTGGCTATGATGGTAAGGTATCGACCATGACATTCTGAAATGTCCTCTATCAAGAGCTGGTGCTTTAGTCCTTTCATCTCTCATCACCACCAAAACTGATTCCGCTGATGCTGCTTTGTTGTTAAGGGCTCCTGTGATCCCGAGCTCAAGTAAGATGATTCACTTCCCATACTTGGTGAAAGAGTTTATGTTTTTGAATCCATCATGCTGAGTTCTCCGGTGAAATTGTCACAGTCTCCCCAACAAAATGTGACATGTTTCTATAGGGATCAGATTGGACCACACCTGATTCTGAAGCTAGCTTTCAATCGAAAACTTCACTAAGCATCTCTAGTCAATGGTAACTCTGTTCTCCTTCTTTAGCCACGTTAGAAAATATGACTGGGAATGCCTCTGAGTCATGAGACCCAATTTTTTTACCATCTGCATAAATGCCACTTTCTTACTACTCCCCCATCGATGATGAGACTGTATAATTTTGCATTCACAGTACAACAGGTGCAGAAAATATTATGTCGAAGCCACTATGGATCCCTTGCATCCTTAGCTTAATGGATTTGTCGAATCACAAGTACTTCTTTGTCATATGGTGGCAAAAGATACAACTCACCATGTTCCCCAGCTTTCTCTTCATTGTTAATCTCCTCCGCAGCACCCTACTTGGTAGAAGACACAACTCGACTCGTCGGGTAGCTGGAGACAATGTTTCCAAAACAGTGGCATTTGAAATATTTTTTGGTGGGAGTTGTAGCAGGCATGCTACTCTTCTCAGCTTTCTCAACTCTCAGAGGTGTGCTTCTATTGTTCTCTCTAATTGTGGGTGGCTACCTAGCTGGTGATGGTTGTCTGCTCCGCTTTTGCTGCCTCTCCACTTTCAATGCTAAGGTCTGGATATATTCAAGTGATGAATAAGTCTGTAGCTGCACCACATCGCTAATAGCCGATTTCATGCCCTCCAGATAACAGACTATGGTATGCTATTCTGGCTCGACCAATTCATACCTCATTTGTAACTGATCAAACTGCTCCGTGAACCTCTTTACTGACTGGTCCCCTCCGCTGCAGCTGGCGGAGTGTCAGAAACATATTCTGACAATGGGTGGGAGGCATTTCTTTGCATCACTACCTGATAATTTTATCGCAACCTTCCTTTTTCTCTGTCTCTATGTGTTCTCCCACCACAAAAAGACTCTCTTTTTCAACTTGATATCAACTAATTTGACTTTCTTAATCTCTGGCACATCCTTATACTCGAAAATCCGTTCAACAGATTGTCGCCAATCAATAGTCGTCCGGATCTATACCTTCATTAAACTCTGGCAGATCCACTTTGATAATAAAGTCTCTTTGCCCTCTAAATGATATCTCTTCTCTAAAATTCTCTCATGGAAGGAATTTACCTACTCCTCTTTAGCCCCGCTCTAATACTGGATTTTAAAATGCTGTGACCTGCCTTCCTCATCGCTGAAGTTGTTCTTATGGAAGGGATTCAGTTCCTCATCTCTTTCTCACTTCGACTCTCCAGATCTCGCTTGAGAGTGAACTCCTCTTGGGTTATCTCATCAATCTTCACAAGCCTCTATTGAAAACGATGGAGTTCTCGCAATATCTCTTCACAGGTAGACTTGTGCATATATCTTCTTGGTGGCATTGTTAGGGTTTGGGATTTGTGAAAGTGGAAAGATTATTTGGTAGTAGGAAGGAAATTTTTTTGGGTTATGGAGGATGCTAGGAAACCCTAAGATAGGACTAGGTCTAGGTTAGCTCTGATACTAAAAGGTACTGAAATTGATTCAAACTAATGGCAACAGAAGCAAATCTTATTAAGAAAATGAATTAAGGCTGCAAACATGACACAAACTGAAAAGGAAATATATGAACACCAATCTCCGACTAGGACCAGAAGAGAAGATCTGATGACTGTGATGTCATCAAAATGATTGGAGAGTAGTAATGGTAAGGGGGGATTGTGGAGGAGGCGTGGGAAAGTAATGGATGGGTGTTTGGTGGCTAGGATTGAGGGTGGAATGAGGGTAGGTCGACTGGAAGTGGAAGGGGAAGGAGGTAGCAGGTTGGCGGCTGAGGGAGCGGGTGAATAGGGAAGGTGGGCTGATGACTAGGGAAGAGGTGGGCTACATGTTGGGGAAGGTTGGGTGGGTTGTAAAGGCTGGAGAAGGAAGGGGGGATGCAATCGACTGTTAGGGATGAAGGGGAAGGTAGAAGGAAAGGAATACGAGAGGATACAACACCACCTCGGAGCAAGATACAGCTGGAACACCACCTGATATCGGATACAACCCTAATAAGGAAAAAAGAGGTTCCACAAACACTCAAAAAGCCAAAAGTACCTAAAACCTAACCCTAATTTCAGAAAACAATGCACACACATACATATATGCGCCCTTGGGTGACAAGTTGGTAGGTAACTGTATTGTCTGTCGTAAGACCCCTCTGATCCGAGTTCAATCCCTGCGAGGACAGATAACACATATGGGGAGCGGTATTTTCAAGTACCACTATTTAATATATATATATATATATATATATA